ATTTGTGAGAAAGGAGAAATCACAGACCATTTGAATGAATTGGAGGCCAAACCTAAAGGAGACACGGTGACCCTTGGTTCCCTGCACACGATGGGGAATGGAGTCAGCACTGGCCATCCTCTATTTTGGAGAAAAGTGGAAAGAGAAAGGGCGGGGTTCTCTCCACATCCTCGTGGTTGAAGTGGCCAGCACGACTGAGAAGGCAACCTCAGTAGTAGTTTGAGGTCCTGCTATGGGGCCAGCCTTTATCGTCCAAGCTCCCCCCACCTTGTCTGGGGATGAGGGGCTGCAGGCTTGCACGCACTGAAAATGCTGCAGAACCACTGCACTGAGAAAGGGTCCAGAATAGCGCAGAAGCTAAATGGCAAATGGGATATCTGAATTGCTGATTCCAATCACTTTGGGAAAAAGAATGTATTTCATATGCTAAAAAGTGCTTTGAAAAGTATTTGGACGGCATCCTGAGAGGTGGCTAAGGTTTAATAAATTCATTAAACTAGGAACAAGTCTTGAAGCTGCACTGAAGGCTCCCATGAGTCGAGGGGGGTGGCTCGGACATCCCCTAAAGCACAGAGAACCCACTCCTTGCAGAGCGAGGGGACCTGAAAGCAGGAGATCCAGAAAGAGGAAACAGAAGGGATGAGGCAAAAGTATTTTTACACCTGACATCCAGTTTCCTGCTGGAGTCCTGCTTCTACACTGCGGCACCCTCTATTATTCAAAGCTATCAGTCTAACAGGAACTTTAAGAAACAACCCTGTCCTTCATGTGGATGGCGGTTTCGGATACGAAACAGTGCACTGAGCAGAATGTTTCCAAGATAGGCAGAAGAACAAATCCACATAGACCTGCTCCTTTGTGATGCCCCCCTACCCGCCCCACCCCCATAAGTGATAGAGGCCTAGAGCTGCATGTGCCACTTACTGACGGCTCAAAAATGAGCATTCACTCTCAGCTGGTGGGAGGATGAGCTCACCGCCTGATGGGTGAGGGCAGCCCACCTACGCTGCCTGTTTTTGCAGAAAACTGTCAATAGCTCGTAACTCATTACAGGCAAATTATCACAAAACACCAGGGTGGAAGCTGGGCATAAACTAGGTCTGTTCATTAAAGTGACCCAGAAATCGTGGATTCTATTTCATAATTGGTTTTTTCTATGGAATCCAGAAGTCATTTCAGCCTTTCAACGCTTCCGTTTTCTTCTGAAAGGAAGGCAAAAGACATCTACTTTATAGTGGAATTTAGAGATCTAGCTGTGCATTCTTGGAGCAGTGGGATGCAACCTCCATGAAGCAGTCATTTCTCCGCAACGAATTTTTGGGGCTAGGGGAGGAGAACTGAGCCGATCCCCTATTCTTTTAACGATGCCAGGAAAAGAACACTGAATGCAAGGATAAACATAGAATGACTCCTTTTCAAAATAAGTTGAAGGGACTTACTACATTTTCTTACCAGAGCTTTAGAAATAAATCACTCTGGAAACACTGACTCACACCGAATGGCCCCAAAGCGGACCTGGGGCTGCTGGAGAAGGCAATCCTACACATGGGTCCTTAGCACAGACCCAGCTACAGCATGGATGTCACGGTCTGGGTCCCTTGCTTTTGTGAGGGGAGGGAAAGAAGGAGTTTGTTTTTGGCCAGGTCTCCTTGCTACCTGGTTTAAGTAATGGAGACAGAATGAATATTAACTTGAAGTTCACAACCTTTCATAATACAACGAAATATGTTTTGATTCTTAGACATAGTTCAGGTCATTTAGTGTTGTAGGACTACTACTATTTAAATCGCAAGTCTGTAGTCCTGTGATTGTTTTAAAACTTAATGCATGAGAGGTGACAATGGTTTTGGTTGTCTTCTGAAGTCTGAGCGATCGCATCTACTCTCATCTCTGAGAAAACCAAAAGGGTAGCTGTGTAAATGTGCACGTGAACTAAAGTGTTTACAGATGAGCATCCTATGGCCTCCGAGTCCCTGCCTCCCTCAGAGAGAGGTCAGAGGGAACTCTAGATCAGAGCAAGGACGTGCACGAAGACTCATCAGGAAAAACAACAATTAACAGTTATATGAGCACTGAGAGCGGAGTTGCTCAAAACCTGGTTTTATTGTTTCCTACGAAGTAACAAAGAAGGTGTCAGTGTATCTAGCATCTTTGATCTCGTAGGTGCTAGGCCAGATGGATCCTGAACTGGTCCTCTTTAGAAAACAAGAAAAACAAAACAAACTCATCAAAAAGACAGCACAACCCTGACCTCTCAAAAACAGTAATGAGGGTAAGAATCCCAAGGTGTCCACGCAGCACTGGCAGTAACCCAGGGCTCGAAGGGACAACTGGGAGGATGGTGGGTCATGCCAATGGAGAGCGGTGATGCTTTCTCAGAGGACTCAAGACCCACACCTCAATTCGGCACACAAGTAATTTTTTTTTTTTTTGATCTGCAAAATTTTATTAAGCAATAGCTGGACAACTTTTACAACTTCAAATCATCAAGAAAAAAATAAGGAGATTAATCCATCTCAATAATAAAGACAGAAAATAATTTGGACAAACCACGTCATTTTGAATGCAAACCATTAATGCCTTCTAGAATACCTCCCACACAATCTAATACACAAAATACATCAGAAGAGAGGCAAATAGGGGTGAGCTTGTTAGAATGCAAGTGGGAATCTCAACAGATCTTGCTTGGAAAGTAAAACAAAGCAGGATGCTGGAACTGAAAAACAAAGCAACACGGGTGGGACTGAGGCGCACACAGCAGCGTGCTATTCCCAAGGTTTGGATAAGAACATGCTGGTGGTCTGGTTTGGTCTGGGACCTGTGCACCTGCATCGTGCACTTACAGTTTAAAAAAAAAAAGAAAGAAAAGAAAAAGAAAATGCCAGCAGTAATAAACTCAGAAATCACGTCCAAATTTACAGTACCAAAATAACGCATTTATAAACAAATGCAAAAACAATACCCCTTTGGTAAATAATACAGTGCCTTTTTCAGTCAAACGCATAACCCATGCTTTTCTACAACACGAAAAAAAATTTATCTACAACAAACAATGAGATCTTAGAACCCTACCCCTCCCTTTTAAAAGAACTTGTAAACAGAAAATATTGGTACAAGTTACAAGGAAATTGCACAAAGCCAAATAAATGAAAACAAAATAAGCCACAACCCTTCAGAGTTTCCATCAGCCGGAGCTAAGGGAATACAGATGGTGACGGGATCTGAGTTGTGTGCCATGACAAAATCCCAGGAACTCAAAGAACAGTTTTGACACATTTTGTCTCGACTCACTTTGTTCACAACTATGGACTTGGCCAAGGGATGGATGGCCCACACAGGGACACGACGGGTTCCTTTCAAAAAATCTTTTCAACTTGCAGATAGTGAACACTGCAGAACACACTCAAGAATTCCAACCAGCCTGGGCATAGACTCCTTGGTTCTTTTTTCAAACCACTCTATGGTTTGTGGGGGCATATGGTGACTTATTTTAGGGCTGTTCTCCAGGGCGTCCACTGAGCAGAGCACACGCATGGGGAGGCTCCCGCTGAAACTGGTGCTTTTGTGTGATTTTAGGAGAACAGACACCATTCCAAAAGCATTTGTTTCTAGAGGTGAACCTGCTAAAGGTTATTTTAAATGCATGGGCTTACATTCACGAGATAGATCATTAATGCCGGAAAAGAAATACTTCTCTATAAAAAGGCAATGATTTTGAAACATACCTTCCAAGTTTGTACAGTGGAATGAGGACCCGGTCACATTTTGAGCCTCAGGCTGTTAGAGCTGGACAGGAGTTGAGAATTTTGTCCAGGCCAGGTTGTCCCTTTCATTTTACAGATGCACAAATGGAAGCCCAAGGTCACCCTCCAACTTCGTGGCAGAGCAGGCTTGCCCCCAGGATTGAGAGGATTACAAGATGAACATACATGTTTTTGCATGGCCTCACTGGACACTCAACTGGGGAGCGATGGACACGGGGGGAAAAGACTAACCGGCAAAACCCTGACTTACGCGGCCATCAGAGCCTCGGCATTTTCCTGCTTCCTTGGCACCAATTTTTCTTAGGATATACATTCAGTGGATATACTGTACACAAATCTGTGCCTTTGGTTTGATGAGGTTAGAGTTGAAACAAATTTAAAATTGGTTTTTATGTTTGTTAATACACTGCTTCCCTCGACAAGGCATGGATTCTTTATGGAGTTGACTGGGCTGATGGTTTTAAATGCAGAGGTTCCATGAGGTATCTTAATATTCATAAGTTGCTATTAATAAACATGAAGCATGTAGAATTCTGCTGTTTAAAGTACTGACTTTAGCAGTATTTAATAAATTGAGACTGAACGAAAACGATTTTTAAAATAAGTGGAACCATCACCGTCAACTTCAAAGACACCACGTCACGAGCGCTGCAGACCTGGAAGTATGAGCTGCATGAGCTCGTTTCCTCCTTTGGGCCAGAGTACGGAGCTGGGCACCTGCTGTCCCTCAGGTCTGCAAACCTCCCCGGACCAGGCCTCTGCCTTCACGTGCGGAAAAGGCCTGCCTTTTGGGGAGTGAGCCCAGAATTGAGAAAGTTCAGTTATTTGCTACAAATACTCACTTTCTCTTCACAAATATATCTGCAGTTTTTATACCAAGGATTTCTCCCTATATTTGCTTAGTAAGAAAAGTTCTAAAATGTATTTTTTCATGGTCTCTGTATCTTAAGAACCAATCCGAGAATCTGGAAGGTGGACACTACTTACTGACAATAAGGCCTTCCTTTGCTGCTCTCATTCCTCTTTTCATTTCGTAGCACCTTTTATTTTTAATTAAAAATAAAATGTTCAAAAGAGGGGGCAATATTATTTTAGGATATGTCAGCTCAAAGAAATCGACTTCTTTGTATATAATCAATACCAAAGAATGTAAAAAAAAAAAAAAAATTACCTTTAAAGGACTAATGGGAATTTTTTCCCAATTAGAAAAGTTACAAATTGTCCAGCAAAAAACCCTTCTATCATATCCTCTTTATTTCTTGCAGCAAAGTATGCTGCTACCAAATAACTCATTACAAACACACTATTTTTCTAAATAAATAAAATGGGCATAGCTCACCAGTACATAGTAACAAAATAATTCCTAAGAACACTATTAAAGCAAGATAAATAATCTCTTGGACAACAAAACAGGGGAACTGCATTTAAATTATTTTAGAAATAGGCCATAACCATTATTGCACAACTAATAATAAGCACTGAAACATCTTACCAAGCTACAAAAACTCCTATAAAAGAATTATATAATTCTGAATACATTGCTAAATTCTTTCTCAAAGAATTTACCCACAAAGAATCAGGTTCAGTATTTTAAAATATAAGATGGAAAACTTGGATGTTAGGTGGGAGATGTCTTCATCTGTGTTTCTTCAGGGTTTGGAGAGAATGGTGAGTGATGTCGTCTTGCTGTGGGGAAGGAATGGGCCAGTTTCTTTTCTAGTTTTTAAACCAAAACAAGGAATGTAAAAACACATACTTTCAAAAGACTTTTCTACAGTGTCTTTCATTTGTCTGCTCCAAACAAAATCCAGATTGAGGAATCTCTGCCAGTACACAGTTCCTGTGCTCCCGCCCAAAAACATCACAGGTTTGAGCAACTGACAACAGTGAACTGGGTTTTGCTATCAGGGCTGACCCTGCCCAAAGTGTCCCCTAAGGAGGAGATGGAGGGGAAAAATAATCTCAGGGGATTTCTGGGTTTTTTTCTTTTTGGTAATTAACCAGCTGTCTTAAGTACTATAATTTTACTAATGTGTTCCCAGTGGTTTATCCAACAGTCTGTACAGTTAATAAGGAACTTTTTTTTCTCCTAGATACAACTGTGGGACTTTTTTCAAAGAGATGACTATAGCTCTATCTTTTAATACCCTGGCAAATGCTTACAATTTTGTTACATTTCTAAACTATTAGGAAACATCTCTAGTCAACTGAATTTTAATGTGGCTGAGAAGAAGAAAGGCGTGCTTTCAGATCAGTGTCCTCAGCATTTTTAGAAAGTGTGGTACACTTATCTATTGGGAAGGAGAATGACTTCTGCCACAGAAGGGGGAGGGGGCAAAGGTTGCTTTTCAGCAGGCCAGTACCTAGTGACTGCCCAAGGCGCTGGGTGACCAGGTCGCTACCCACCACACACCAGGACCGCTCCATTTCGTCTCTCCCCTTCTCCCGAAGGCAAGCCTCACTGAACCGATGGAATTCTGACACGTTCTAAAACTGGTGGGGTCTTCAACGCGGACAGCCTCCAGAGAGGAGCAGAGCCCCTGTACTACTCAAATCCCACCACGTACATCCCCCACGCATCCATGTGCAGGCGCGCCTTCCTCCCGTGTCAGCACGAGCAAACTGTATTTCTAGCCGGTAAGAGCAGCCCTGCACACAGTCCGCTTCCATGAGTCAAACCCCGCGCACCTGCCGGGACACCCTCCATCAATCCGTCACTCTGGGGAAGTAACAGGACGTGTGTGAATTCAATGTCCCCCTACAAGAACCTGTACCTTCAGGACTTTTGGTTGTCTTTTTAAAGAGTTTTTTGTTTTCACACTAGTGGTTATGATAAGGAGTAATAAAGCTAGATGTGTGGAGAATGGAGATAATGCACACTCCCTAGTCTAAAAGAACAGCAGGTGGGAAGGCAGCCTACCTTCCTTGAGGGCCCCTTGTCTTGGCAGCTGACAGAAGCAAACACAGGAGGACATTACCACAGCAACTGTGTTTCCTAAAGGAACACCAGGTGCCTCGCACCCTTTGCTTCCAAATACCACTCTTCTGCATTCTCTTTTTGTTTAAAAAGAAAGAAGAAAGAGAAACAATAAAGGATTATAAAAGCCCAAACAAATGACAACAATTAAAGGTCAGTCCCCTCTCCTGGGCCTGACAGAGTCTTCCAGTTTTGCTCTTGTCTTCTGGTCCCCGGACACCTGGGGCCCCGGGCGGCTCCTCGAGCAGCGCTGAGGAGACCTCTCTGAAAAGGCTCCTTTGCCTCTCTTTCCGCCCCATACCAGTCTATTCACTTCAGGCGCTGAGTCACGTTGGCCAGGGCAACGGCGAAGGCCTGCACAGCTGAGAAGGGGTACTGGAAGTCCAGAATGTACGCGTTGCCATCAATCCTTCCAAACTGCATCACCTGGGGTGGGGGTGGAGAGGGCAGAGAAGCGAAGACATGAAAAGAATACAAGGTGGGAAACACAACCATGTCTGTGTGGCTCCTGAGGGAAGGGGACAGCCCAGCCCAGGAGACAGGTTTGCCGACCAAGGTGACTCTGATCAAGGTTTTTTTTTTTTTTTTTTAACAAACAAACAAAATTTATTTGTTTAGATCAGACTCCCTCCAAAGGGAAAAATAGGAATACCATTCACGGTGAAACTATGTTTTTTGCTACCGGCAACACTTTTATCCCGTTCTCTGACCAGGTGCCCTAATCAGTAATTGCTCTACTATGCAGCAGAGGTGATGCAGAAACAATTCAAATAACCCTCAACTCTGGTGGGACAGCTGTCTGCTGCTGGCTAACTGGTCATTAATAAAACTCACATCTCCTTAGCAACAAATTTTCACTTTTTTCCTTTTTATATTTGTGTATGTTGTCCAATGAAATGATCTCTCTGCAAGTGAGCATTGGAACCACTAAAGGTATCTGATTCTTCACATTTGCAGCAAAGTAACGCTGCTGATTCACTGTCTTCCAAATGAGAGCTCGAGGCGCAGGGGCTGGAGGTGGTGCTGGGAGTAGGCGACCGCTGGACCATGACCAAAGCCATCTAGGCGCTGCTAGGTTGTTCTGGGCAGGGCATTCTTGTCCTGAATGTGGGGGGGCGGCAGGGTGACGGAGCTGGGACGGGGAACGGGGTATGGGATGGGGGTGAGGGGTAAGGGGAGGAGAAGGAGGCCGCGGAACGGCCACAGGCTTTGCACCCACCACCAAACTCTTGCCTACTGACACCTAACGGGCCAGGGGCGGGCGGGCGGGCGGGCAGGTGGTTCGGCGGCAGCAGGCCACCCTGATCAAGTTTCTTGATCTCACTATGAGTTTGTCAGAAATAAAGAGGGGGAGGGAACATGTTAAACATGCAGTGGGGGGAGCTCCTGGGTGGCTCAGTTGGTTAAGCGACTGCCTTAGGCTCAGGTCATGATCCCAGAGTCCGGGGATCGAGTCCCACATCGGGCTCCCTGCTCAGCGGGGAGCCTGCTTCTCCCTCTGACCCTCTCCCCTGTCATGCTGTTTCTCTCTCTCTCTCAAATAAATAAATAAAATCTTTAAAAAAAAAAAAGAGCAATGGGAAGATAATGAGCAAAAATTCAGAGCGTGGAAAGCTCCACAGGTCAAATAAAGTGGTTTCTTCACCAAGGAAACAGAAAGGAGAACGAAAAAGTATAAGGAAGAATCTATAGGCTAATAAAGGGTTAAGAGACACATCATTTGTCATGGTCAAATGTCACTGCTCAGAGAGGGATAAAACGCAGTCCGCCTCCTTCCCCTGGTGCTCATTCTCTCGAGCTTGCCTTCCTTTGTCGTTTCAGTACTTACTGTGACCACATTATATTACCACATAACATGATGTATATATATTTATTTGTTTATGGTCTTTCTACCAAAAATGGAAGACAGGGACAGGGACTTTCTCTATTTTCCTCAAGGCTCTAGTTTCAGTGCTTGGAGCAAGGCTGGCAAACTCTCTGTGAAGGGCTGATGATAAATGTTTTAGGCTTTGTAGCTCACAGGGTCTTTGCCACAACTCTAAACCCGTTGTAGGACAAAAGCAGCCTTAGCCAATATTTAAGTGGATGCGCATGGCTGTGTTCCAATAAAACGTTATTTATAGAAAGAGGCAGCAGGTCGGACGGTCTGTGGGCCACCGTTTGCCAACTCCTGGCTCAGAGGATCGCCAGGCATATAGCAGGTGCTCAGTAAATGTCTGTTGAGTGAATTAATGAAAATGAGGTTTAAATATGCGAGGTGAAGAGGTGTGTTCCCAGAACGACAGCTACGCAGCGGGATTGGAGCCACCCTTTCAGGCTGTAGCAGGAAGAACTGACAAATCGCCCAACGTGTAATGTATGGAGAGAGGATTTACATCACGCCAGAGAATCAGGGAATGACTTAGTCATAAATACACAGAAATAAGCAAACAAACACTGGCTAATTATTATGTCTAGGGAAAGAAAGACTAGACAATAAAAAAGGAAATATAATTAAGCCATAATCTGTGGCTCAGCTATAAATCATATATATTGGCATAATGAGATAACCAATGACTACGTAAAGTAAGAAAAGGGGGAAGTTCACATGTGTGTATGTATGGCAGTGGGGGTGAAGAAAATTAACCGTCCTATTCCTCAGGAAGAAGTCAATGCATGATGTGAAAAACTGAAAAATCAATAAACAGAAGTGGGAACACGCTCTTTACAAATACAGTGTCAAGGGGCGCCTGGGTGGCTCAGTCGGTTAAGCGGCTGCCTTTGGCTCAGGTCATGATCCTGGGGTCCTGGGATCGAGCCCCACGTCCGGCTCCCTGCTCAGTGGGGAGCCTGCTTCTCCCTCTGCCTGCCGCTCTGCCTACTTGTGCTCTCTATCTCTCTGTCAAATAAATGGATAAAAATCTTAAAAAAAAAACCAAAAAACCAAAAAACCAAATACAGTGTCAAATACCAGAAGAACCAGAGCTGGGTTTGGGAGCGGGCCGGGGGCTGGGCAGGGAGGGGCCTGCTAGTTCTCCTCCTGGATCTCGCAGAATCATCTGACTTTGAAAAATCAGTACCTGTGTTGCTCTGATGATAAGTAAATAAAAGCGAGCAATGGGCACACCATAAAGTACAACCACGACCGGCCCCACTTAAGAGACAGCAGTTGTTTTCTGTATTTCTCATTTGGCTCCTGGCAGGCCAAAGCACAGATAGCCTTCACCAGGTTTTTACCTCCCCCCCC